TTGTATATCCCCTTTTCCTCCCCTTTCTACATAATTAACTTCTTGAACAGTGGGTCTCAGTCTGAGCCCTCATCTGGAATAAATGAATAGGAAATATTATAGAGGCAGAAATAAAAAACCAAGGATTGAACAGTAATTCAAACAATCCTCAGTGTCCCACTGCAGGTGCCTGTGGTTTCCCTGCTTCATTCAACCTCTGAATGCTGAGTCCTGTCTGTATCGAAGTTGACAGATGCAATTTCTTCCAGTCATAAGTTTGACATCTCTGAATAAATTGTCCAACGTTTTGGGGAGAACTTTATGAGTAGCCCAAGAGTACTGGTTGCATCTCTTGGAGCTTCTTCTGCCGCCTATCTCCTGGCTTCTTGCTTCTGGCTTTGGAGCAACTGTACTAAGTCAATCTAATTGGAACACTCTAGTCCACATGTCTTGAGCTAGTTATATTAAAAGATAAAGTGCACATTTGCATAAATGAATATGTATCAGATGCAAAATTATGCACAAATATTCACCTTTGATATGTTGGATAAAAGCTTGATTCCCTGCACACCCAAAAATGTCTTTAGTGTTTTATTTGGCCATAGGAAGAATCACTCAATTCCATTTACTGAAAACTGTGAGCTAAATCATTCTAATATTGAGTGACATGGTCAAAGGGTGAACCCATCACTATCAAAATCTAAGTCATATAGATTTTTTTTAATCTTAATTTGTTTGTGTTTTGTATTTTTTACAGTTAATTAATATATTTCTTTACTCATGTATATTTTGTTCTTGGAGATCAGGTTGTTAAATGTTTTAAACTCTTTATACTTCAATTATGTTATCTTTATAAAATGGAGTTAGTGTCCCTTCCCTCTCAACAAAAGCACTATGTAAATATTGGGCTATCTTTACTGAATCCACTTGAAAATGCTTGTACAGAGATGGTATCAGAAGTACTTGGTGTTCTTATGGGACTCCTAACAGCGGGAGTGTAGGATGTCTCTGACTCTTTTGCCTGCTCTTGGGACCCTTTCTCTCCTACCGGGTTGCCTATTTCAGTCTTGATATGAGACTTTGTGCCTGGTCTTATTATATCTTGTTATACTGAGTTAGGTTGATATCCATGGGAGGTCTATTCTTTTCTGAAGGGAAATGGAGGAACAGTGGATCTGGGGAGAGGAAAGGTGGAGGAGGAGAGAGGAGTGGAAGAAGCAGAAACTGTGGTCAGGATGTAAAGTGTGAGAGAATAAGAAAGGAAATACATAGTCAATATACTATCTATAAAAGGTACTAGGAGAACCCGATAATTCTTCTCTTTTACCTGATAGAATGGATTAAACTGACAAATTCTAGTCTAACGATTTCGTCACTCAGCAACTATGGTCAGGGTCTTTGTGGATCCTATGTTGCATTAAGTGAGGGAAATACCAACTTTCAAAGAACAGGAAACCCCTGTCTATAAACACCTTACTTTGCTCAGGCAACTAAACCCTTATTTACAAAACATGCATATAATTTTTATGTATACATTTTATTGTTATTAGTTTTACCTGTGTAAAACATAGATTAATTATTGAACACACATATGAAACAGATGTCCTTGAGTTTACAGAGATGTAATTTGAAACTCAAGAGAGGAGAAGTTAAGCTTCCATAGGGTGTCAGAGGCCAGATGGTAATAAGAAGACATTTTATCTGAGAGTGTTCAATCTCAATAAAATTCCATGGACTCTAACTGATTATAAGGACCCACATTTCCAAGACACTCTGAGATTTGGTCGTTTCTGTCACTGCCACTGAGATACCAGCATTGCTAGTGAACAGCTGTGTCTAGGGCTTCTGCACCCTGAGTTCTGGAACATGGCTATTGTTTACTGACATCCATTACAAGATCAGTCTCAGCATCTCTCTGAATCACGAGTCCATTCATCTGGTTTTCCATAATCTCATTTCTCTTCTGGCTGGATCTGGTTCTGTTCCTGGTTTTCCTGTTCAGGTCAAAACATAGGCTTTCTGAAACTCAGTCATTCTATTTTAATATCATGAGCCTGGTACCTACCAAGCTTCCAGTGAGAAAGGAACACACATGCCAACAGGAAAACAAATCTGTTAAAATACAAATCCACTAGCTGTACCCGGAGTTTAATGGTGTCTCTATTCTCCCTGACTCCCCAATGGTGTTTATTTCATGTGTATTGTATGTGTGTATGTGTGTTTCCTGTATGTCAGTGAATGTGTGTATGTTTAATGTGTATACGCAGGACTTCTCATGCACAGCCAAAGTGTGTGAATAATGACCCACATGCTTCTCCAGATCATCTGGATCTTATCATAAACATGAGATTCTGTGCCCATCACACAGCTCTGCTGGGTCTGGGGTTTTGTGAACTGGAGTTTGTTTGGGGGGAACTTTGGCTCTACTCCTTTGGGAAGTCAGCTCAGTAAAATCCACAGGTGGCTTTCAGTTTTTGGCATTCGATGTGATAATTTCACAAGATTACTACTTTGAAACTTTATCACAACCAAGAGACACAATGGATGTACTATCCTTCTCACACCTGCACTTCAAACACTACTCAGTGGAAAAGAATGAAATCCAACAAAATCGATGTGAAGCACATCGTTCATGGGACATTTGTAAACATTTGAGCACCTGAAACTATGATTTAGAGAAAGCTAAAAGTCAAAGCACTAAACATGCAGGAAGGATATAGAAGAGATGGTCTCTTATTCAACCACCAACCCCCGACCATAAACTAGTGCAACCACTGTGAAAATCAGTGTGGTGCTCCTCAAAAGCTAAAATTACATTGACCTTGTGACCCAGCTAACTTGGTACAAGCCCAAGGGTCCTCTACCCAGTGTCACAAATTCACAGAGCCACTGAAGTTCCATGCCCCCATCAGAGGCATCCCTTTAAATACTTGGTGGGCCTGGGAGTGGATACATTGAAGGCTCAGTGTTTGTTCTTTAACAGCTTTGATGACATTTCATTTCTTAGCATTAACTCATTGTGTCTTCCGAGCAAATACACATGATGATACAAGGATGGACTCTCTCTCTCTCTCTCTCTCTCTCTCTCTCTCTCTCTCTCTCTCTCTCTCTCTCTCTCTCTCTGTTAGTCTGTTATTTTCCATTCTTAAATTCCAGAGGGATTAACCAGCAACCCTCTGCAATAAAAGTCCTTAAGTAAATAAATGGGAATCTTCTGCAATAAAAGTGCCAAGAATCTAGGAACTTGTCAAAATCTGACCTCTGACACAACAGCCTTGGGATTCTGCTTCAGCCTAGATGATGCAGCCTTGGAAGCTTTGAACTCCTCAAGGCCTTATCGGGTGGCTCTGCCTTTTTTCTGCTCAGAACTCTGAAAATTATTGTCAGAAACTGCCTCCTGGTCAGGTATGTCGTTTACTTGCTCAGTCTTATTAAGAAATTTCACCTAAAGTGTGTAGATCAGCAGCTGACAAGCTTTAGATGATGACAGTGATCTTCTCTGCCAGGCAGCTCAATGCCTGGAATGTTCAGAGAGTTAACAGTTGCCTCACCACTTGCTGACAGACAGGAACCTCTTGTGGCTGTTCCCTGGGAAGTTCTGCCACCACCTGACCCATGCAGATGCTGATGCTTGGTTCCAACCATCAGACTGAGCTGTTGACCCCGGTGGGGAAGCTGGTAGAAGGACTGGAGGTGGAGGAGTGGAGGGGGTTTGCAACCTCATAGTTGCAATGTCAGCTGGCTGGGCCACCCAGTGTGCCCAGGGACTAGACCACCAACAAAGGAATGTACCGGTTGGGATCTATGGCTCCATATATATATATATATATATATATATATATATCTCTCTCTCTCTCTCTCTCTCTCTCTCTCTCTCTCTCTATATATATATATATATATATATATATATATATATATATATATGGAGGTTTGATGCCCCAGAGTAAAGGAATGCTGGAGCGGTGAGTGGGTGGGTGGGGGGCACCCTCATAGAAGCCAAGGAGAGAGAGAAAGGGTGGATGTGGGATATGTAGGTTGTGGTGAGATAACTGGAAAGGGGGATATCATTTGAGATATAAATGAATGGAACGATTAATAAAAAATTAAAAGAAAAATTATTTGCCTCATGAGACTTAAAGACTCATGTTCATATGAAATAACTGCTGACTGGCATTAGTATTTATGGATACATTTAGAACAGTTCCATGATATCTGGTTATCAATTCTACACATTAACATCAAAGGTCATGTATGGAAAAGTACATATATGGAATAAAAACAGATAGAAGACATAGCTTATGTGTATTTTAGGTAAGATCCTCTTATCCCTAACATATTTTCTTTGAAAAAAATCAAATAATGGAAACAATTTTGAAAGAAACACAACTTGACTCACAGGTCAAGGCTATTTGCAGTGGGATATTCCAAGGATATTCCCTTTTCCATATTGAAAAGGTGTGGTGTCATGGTGTTGATGACATTGTGAGTATCCAGCTCATATTAACTTTGCGATGATAGTATTTATGGGAAAATGAGCTCTTAATTTTCCCAGTATTTCCAAGCTAGAAATTCAACCATCCAACTGAATAAGTAAATTGGTTTCTACTTGTGTTTACCAGGTCTGATCGAGTACTGCACATTGGAGCTCTGCAGGTGTCCAACAAGTGAGACCTAAGTTAGAGTCATGGTGGCTTAGAGACAAGGGTGAAACCTCTGCGAGTGCTGGGCATGAAGACAATACTCGAAGATTTCAGTCTGTACATCATTCAAACCGTCACTGGGATCTGTTGAGGCCATGGCACACACACACACACACACACACACACACACACACACACACACACAC